AAAGACTGAAATAACCATATATAGGTTCAAATTATATTAACTGTATTCACATTTTTTTTTAATGTAAAATAACAGACCTGCGCATTCTTTTTCAGCCGAATAGCAATTTGTCTGAATTTCAATTTAGGCCAATTGGCTGGTTGTCCGAATTCTGTATTTCCAAAGCTACAGTTGAACTTAGAATGCAACAAATGAAAAGTGTGCAATGGACGAGCTTGTACGTTTCATTCATGTTTCTTATATGTTTCATATAAAATTATAGATTTTGTTACTGCTACTCCTCTTGTTCTGTGAACCAAATGGGGTGAAGTCTTAATATTTATGCATTTATTTTGCATTACACTGATTGGCTCTTTTTTTTGTGTTGTGTTTTTGTTTTTCTGAATATTTTTGCATGCATTCTTTTCTAACAAGTTGAACTGCCACATAGATGGCTATGAAACGAAATGTTATTTTCAGAAAAAGCGATTTGGCCAAACTAGTTTTTTTCTGCTGTGCACAAATATACTAAATACACATTCATAGAAAGTTTGAAAGTTATGAAATACATAATATATACATAATGTCATTCTAGAGCCATACAAGAGAAAACATGAAAAAAATCAACTGAATTTGATTGTCCATATTTTTATTGTGGAAATGCCTAAACATTTAGGAAAAATATTTTAATATAAAGTAAAGGCTGTAACTGGAAATGTTGGAACAAGATGACTTGCGCATTACAGAGCCCATCACGTGCCCAAGCCCAAAAACCTGGCACAAGACATCCCAAGGGACATTGTCACCAGGCTGCAATATTACAGCGCAAAGAAAGGCAGAGGCGATGCCAGTCACCTACAATAAGATGTCTCTTTATGCTGACCTGTCAGTGACGACAATGGATCAGAGACAGAACTTTGTCAATATAACCAAATGCCTCCAAAACAACAAGATTCCTTATAGGTGGGGTTTTCCGATGAAGCTTCTGATCTGGCGCAATGGCACCCTCACGAAAATAGAGGAACCAGAAAATGTCATGGAGTTGCTACGCACACTGGGAATTTTCCCAGAAAAGGCTACACAACCAGCCACCACTTCTCCAAGGAAGGTTTCCCCGGAATGGACGAAAGTCCAGAAGCTGAAATGATTCACGACTATTTTCCCATGACTAGCGTAGCGGACTGCAGCATTCTGAGAGCAGTATATGCAAGAAGCCAAAAGGTGGACACTTTTTGTTTATCCAGGAGGTCTGCTGTTGAAGGACTCCCATATAGGGGATCGGGTAGGTGAACTGGGTCGCTACGTAAGTAGATACACAATGCACCACTTATGCACACCATAAAGCAGTATCAAGGATGGAAACAAAAGGTCATAAAAAAAAAAAATACATTTCAATCTACCAAAAAATGCACACACACAAAAAAAATTGAAACAAAAAAAATAAATAGAAAAACAAACTCCTGTTGATACAATGTACAAAACTAATATAAACATCATAGCTACACGCTACATCCCTCCCCTAATGCCTATACACCTCTCAAGTCTGGAAATTCAGTGCGTTGGACACCCAGGCCACCTAAGACCTCTCCCACCCCATCTACATGCATCTTTAACCCTGCAATTTTTGGGGCTTTCACTAAATAACGATGAGATGTCTTTCTTGGATAGATGTAACAGAGAGGTGCTCCCAGAGCTGGTAGTTGGAAATCCTCCGCAGGGTAGCAGGTGTATGTACCACCGGTTCTTGTGGCATTCTCCCGTACCAAACCAGGAAAGAGGGAGCCGGGAACTGTTTAGATGCTTGTGTGCGACATGAGATCTCCCTGACCTTTGCAGATGGCTCTCTCTAACTGCTTTAATATCGAATCCCTAAATGCCCAACGCAGGCTTGCTTTTCAGCAGTTGCACGTGTCAAACACATGCATTGCTTGCATACAGGAGACTCACTTCTCCAGCGCAAACCCGCCAAACTCATTCTCTAGGTATCTCCTGGCATACCACGCTCTAGCTCCCAATAAGACTAGTGGTGTGAGCACCTTATTCCACTATGACTGGGCTTTTCAATGTGACAGGGAGTATAAGAGTGTAGACGGTAGACTTCTCATTTTGGTCGGACTACTCAATGACGTCCCGGTGACTATAGCCAACTTGTATGCACCCAGTACTAACCAATATGATTTTCTTAGGAAGGCTATGAATAAATTAGACAAAATTAAACAGGGACAGATGATAGTCTGTGGGGACTTCAATTGCGTGTTAGATCCAGATCTGGACAGATCGGGCAATGTAGGGTCACACGCGTGCTCCACCTCGCTAGCTTCAAAACTGATGGCTCTGTTGCAGACCCATGGCTTACATGATACCTGGAGATCTTTATATCCTGCCACAAGGGACTACACTTTCTATTTGGGGGTTCACAACCAGTACTCGCGCATTGAAGGAGGTCAAGATCTCCCCATTAACCTGGTCTGACCACGCACCGCTTCTTCCACTTTCACCTCACTCCACCCGGCTAGGGGATGAGGTGTGTGGCATTTAAATTAATCACTCCTCGACCTTAAAACACAGGTGGAAGAGCTGAGGAGAACTATTGTAAACATTTTTGTGGACACCCTAGCTTGCCCATAAGGCAGTTGTCCGGGGATTACTGATTGAAATGGGGGCCCAACTTAAATGGAGAGTGTCTGCTAAAGGTGATATGCTCCTTAAAGGATCACTATAGTGCCAGGGCTCTGGGGGGAGGAAGGGGTTAAACTTACCTCTTTCTCCAGCACCGGGCGGGGAGCTCTCCTCCTCCTCTCCTCCCTCTTCTTCCGTCACCGGCTGAATGCGCATGCGCGGCAAGAGCCGCGCGCGCATTTAGCCAGTCCATAGGAAAGCATTCACAATGGACGCTGACGTCTTCTCACTGTGAAAATCACAGTGAGAAGCGCGGAAGCCCTCTAGCGGCTGTCAATGAGACAGCCACTAGAGGCTGGATTAACCCTATTATAAACATAGCAGTTTCTCTGAAACTGCTATGTTTATAAAAAAAGGGTTAAACCTAGCTGGACCTGGCACCCAGACCACTTCATTAAGCTGAAGTGGTCTGGATGCCGATAGTGGTCCTTTAAGGAGTTGGGGAAGGCAGAAGAATAGCATAAGGTGTCCTCAGTATTCTCTTGCGACCCATTTTTGATCCCCTATGGATATCAACCAAACGATCTTACACAAACTTAGGACTGAGAGAGATTCACCAGCTACAGCAGGTAGAAAGGGCACTCTGTAAAATGAGATGTGAATATTACAGGCAGGGAAATAGGGTGGGGAAACTCCTAGCTACACCACTTAAACATAAGGCCACCTGAGCAAGAATACTGAGCCTGCTTACTGAGGCTGGAGTCAAACTGACTAATTCTAAAATGATCGTAGATGAATTTGCTGCTTTCTACGAGTGGCCTACAATCTTTCCTCAGTTCACTCGCAATACCAACTGACACACTTAGATATTACTGTCTTCCTGGATGGGGTGGATCTTCCTCAGCACTCCAGTGCCCAGGCTAGTGACTTAGATAGGCCAATCACGATGGAAGAAGTCTCTAGAGCTATACAAGCAACGCATAAACATAAAGCCCCAGGCCTTGACGGCTTCTCCACTTACTACTATAAGACATTTGAAGACCTGCTCATTCCTCATTTAACCACCCTCTTTAACCACATCCTTGACGCTGGACGACTACCCCCTGAAATGTTAGAGGCGACGATTGTCCCAATACCGAAACCAGGGAACATGACTACGTCTTGTGCGAACTATCGCCCGATATCTCTGCTGAATGCAGACACGAAGCTGTTCGCTAAGGTGATCGCCCGTAGGTTGGGACCCCTACCCCCTGAGATTACTTTACCTGAACAGGTGGAGCTTGTCCTGGGTCGACAGGTGGAGGACAATACCCAACGAGCACTGTACTTACTTGAACTTATGACGACTAACAAACTGTCAGGCCTTACTCTGGTGGTGGACGCAGAGAAGGCTTTTGACCGCCTTCACTGGGGGTACATATTGGAGGTACTGCACAAATTGAACTTCCCAAGGGAAATTTTGAAGGACATTCTCTCCCTTTACTTTGCACCCTCGGCTAAAGTGATTCGGGTTTCTTATCCCAACGTATAGCACTTAATAATGGCACTCGCCAGGGCTATCCGCTTTCGCAACTTAAATTCATACTGGCGCTAGAACCCCTGATCCATATGTTCATGCAACACCAGGCTATCGAGGGAGTTCCCACACCAATAGGCACCCAAAAATTAGCTCTCTTTGCAGACGATGTCCTCATATTTCTCACAAAACCACAAGCTCCCTCCCACTCCTACTAAACCTTTTAGGCGCATACGGATGGGCATCTTATTATAAGAACAATGCAGCAAAGACACAGGCGCTCGCTGTAAATATCCCACAACCCCAATTGGCAGAATTGCAGGCACTATATCCCTTTTAATGGAGGAGGGACTCCTTAGCTTATCTTCGGATGCTACTGTCCACCTCGAAACACGATATACTGACACAGTATATGTAAGCTATTGAATAGTGTGTCAGGCTGCTGGAGAGCTGTGGGGATAATAATTCCTCTTGGCTGGGTCGCATAAATGTCACAAAAATGATTGTTTTACCACAAATACTGTTTCTTTTCCGAGCGTTTCCAGTCGAAATTCTCAAATCTCTTTGATCAAAATTTCAATCCTTAATCAACGCACACATATGGAAGTGGAAGCCTCCAAGGGTGTCGCTGGCTAGCATTTCCCTGGGGATGGGGGAGGGAAGAATGGGGTACTGTGTATTGCCAAATATTGTGTGGCTACCACATTAGCACAAACTGCAAGGCTGTTGACGACAAAGCAGGCACTTCTTTGGCATGCCTTAGAGCAAGCGATTAGCGCACCCCACTCAACGTTGGACCTTTGATGGGTCCCAACACCCATGGCAGTTAAGGTAACTTTCTACAACTAAACTATCCTTATTAACGTTGTGCAGATGGGCCCCGGGTATGGTGACCAAGACACCGAGTGCATATGCTACGCTACGTAGTTTGACATACCGCACGCAGGACCTACCACTGAATGACTGGACACAACTGGGTATCACGAAAGTGACACATTTACTGAGAGAGGGAGGAATCCAGCAGTTCCCTGATTTACAACAGACCTATGCTCTGCCCAGCAGAGAACTTTTCATATATATGCGTATCAAACACATTGAGAAGGATAAGTTGAACCTTTTAGACTCCCAGGAACTGGGTACGTTTGATAAACTGTGTTTGGGTATTCTGAGCCTCCCTAAGCCATTATCTCTGTGTTATAAATGCCTATTGGTAACGGGCAATCATGTAAGCTAAGAAATATCGAACAATGGGAAAAGGAACTTAACTGTAGTATGAAGCTGAGCAATTGGCATACCGCAATGACAGGAGTGAAGAGAATCACTCACTCTTTGGACCATATAGAGGCAGCTTACAAGTTATGGATGCGGTGGTACCTCACCCCCAAATGCCTAGCACACATTTACCCAGCCGCCCAGCCAACCTGCTGGCACTGCTGTCAGGATACGTCAAGAGGTGAAGTCAACATCAGGAGCCTGTGCAAAATACCATCAGGAACCTTTGCAATAAACTCCACACACTATTACCCCCTCACACATTGTTACCCACACACAAATTGTCATCAACATACACACACTGTCACCTCCCTCCACGCACACTGTCACCCCCCATACACACACTGCCACACTCACATAAAGCTCTCCTGATCCTGTTATTCTATTAGTGTTTATATGTGTGCATGTATTAGTGTGCGTGTCTATATCTGCAATCTGATAGTGGCTTGGTACTGGTAATGCAAAGGTATGTGGCAAGCAACATTTGAACGTAAGTCCACTGACAAAGAAATGATTAGTTTATCATTTTAATGGTAGATGTATTTTAACAGTGAAAGACAGAATAACATTACAAAAAAATCAGCAGGGGATCAAATACTTTTTTCCGTTACTGTACACACGCAAGGCAACCGCTATTTAAATTTTATAAATGGTGTTAGTGGGGGCCTCATGTTTGAGTTTTGCCTAAGGCATCACAAAGTCTAGAACAGCCACTGCTGACCGATGCAGACACACTCACACTTACTCACGCAGACCCTTACTCAATAATGCAAGAGGAGCTTGAGCAAGCATGGAGATGGAGGCCATTGAGGAGCTTCGGGTTGGCTACCTACAGCAGTCTGCAGCATCCCCACTTCTCGTCATACATAGCATTGGGCCTGTCATGACCCACATTGACCCACGAGGGAGATCTACAGCTTCCGGTCTTTCCACATTTAGTGAGGATTACATTCATGTAGCTATTGCCATTTTGATTCAGCCCTCTGTGTTTCTTTAGTTCACGTAATTCACCAAAATTCATTGTTTTGTCAATAATCCTCAACTGTTTTGCAGGTCATTTATTTTGGCTTTAAGTTTGCAATTCTCTTCCGAATTCCTGACAATTTACAGTTTAGTGAATAATCTTTTAAGAGTTATTAACATTGAAGCTGAAGTGACTGTCATTAAGAAAAAAAAACACCTTTTTTACGGTTATAGTGCTAGAAAGTTACTATCTGAAAGTTCATTTAAATAGATGATTGTGAAAACATTCTGCAGGAAGCAGAAAATAATTTAATTTGATTGTTATCTGGGTGTACAATGGCTGGGAATGTTTGTAAATGTTTAAATTAATTGGGTTAAATGTACATTTAAAGGTTCCTTTCAACATAATGGGTGCAGTTACAAGAATGCTTTTTAAAATGTCTGCCCCGCCTAATCTTTGGTTCATGAAAGGTCTTTCAAATGAAGACAATAGGTGAAAAAAATATAATTCCAGAAAATCCCTGCATACAGTAGCACGTAGTTTTTATTTGTATTTATTGCTCCTAGGGTTTGATTGAAATTGATCTGTTCCATTGTTTTCTTGATAATACATGATTTTGCATGCTAACTGATTTTTTTATCTTCTCTGTACACATTTGTATTTAATGTCCGATTGCTCTAGGTTTGTCCTACATACCATTTCTTTGAAGCAGATGTATTTTTGAGTAGACTCATAGACACTGCTACGTTCTCTGAAATATTTTTTGATTACAGTGTTTACTCTCTAATACGCTTTTATGCATAGTCACACATGCTAGCTACTGTTTCTACTTTTGCATTGATTATAACTAGTGATGTAGCGAACCGTTCGCGAACTTGCCGCGAACGGTTCGCCACGAACCCTTCGTGGCGAACTCCAGTCAGCTGACACATCCCTGCCAATCTCCGGCAGACCCTCCCTCCCAGACCCTCCTACTTCCTGGACAGCATCCATGTTGAAGGCAGCTTCAACATGGATGCTGTCCAGTAGGTGGGAGGGTCTCGGAGGGAGGGTCTGCCGGAGATTGGCAGGGATTTGTCAGCTGACCGGAGTTCGCCGCGAACGGTTCGTGGCGAACCGTGGCGAACCGTTCGCGGCAAGTTTGCGAACGGTTCGCGACATCACTAATTATAACCTATTATTCTGACTAGTATTGTCGACAGTTTTTTGGCTTTTATTATTTTCTATGATTTATTTATATTTTTCATCTTTTTCTTATTTCTTTTAAAACTCCTAGTGTTTTTATTATACACTGTTTATATTTCCTACTTTATTTTGTTGTTACATCCATGGTTTATGGATTTATTTGTTGTTAGTGAATTCCTTTCCTAATATCATTCAGCTATGATTGGACTACCTAGGGCAGGGAGGCAACTTTTTAGGATATTGTGCCATAACAAGACTTTGAAGTCCCTTGGAGTGCTAGTCCTGTTTAATTTTGTAAATTGACATGTGTGCATGTTGCTGTATTCTGCTCGTTTCATGAATGGACACTTGCAGATGCTTTGTAGGGTTGCATTTGTATGTATGTGGACTGCATTATATTGTGCATGTGCATAAGGAGTTTGTGATATTGTGTGTTATGTATGTGGGCAATGTATCGTTTTTGAATGTGGACAGTAGATGGGGGCTGTTTGTGGAATTGTGTGTGTGGTGTTGTGTGCATGTGTGGATGTGCTATTTGAGATATTACATGTATAGTGCTTCCTGATGGGTTTTGTATGTATGTGGGTTGTTGTCAGTGGTATTGCCAACCCTTGACCTAGGGGTTTGTCTACCTTTTGCTGATTTTGATGATGTCATGTAGCCTATTTTTCATTAGCAACCTATTTTTTGTTTTAATTCAGCTATGCATATAATACCTGGGTGTTGCTGCGTTTGTAAAAGCTGTGTGGGGAGGAAACATAGAACGGAGGAAGGGAGAGTGAAATGGACTATGGAAATAAGTGAAGATTGGACAGGAGAGCTATTGTTATGGCATACGAAACACCCAGGGAGATGTTAACTTTCCTACAAAGATATGTTTCAGTGACTTCTTTAAGGATCAGAATAAATCTTATATCTTATCTCTCTGGAGTATAGCCACTAGGGATTTTCGTAACCCTGAAATGTTAAAATCAAAGAAATGAAGTGGTCTGGTTGCCTATAGTGTCCCTTTAATAATGCTGAGATCAAGTGAGGAGAGGGTCATCAGCCTATAAATGATACTGAAATTCAAAGGTGACTAATAAAGTAGCCGAGAGGTAGCACAAACTAGGTAAACTTCAATTGAGAGTCTTGGAAGGGAGCAGTTGGCACCAGAAGAGAAGACACTAAATGATGGACATTTGTGAACGATAAGATGGGAACTAGAAAAGCACAGTGTTAAAAGGCCAATGTTGTGTAAGGTTTGAAGAAGTTGCCAAAGGTCAACAGTGATCTATTTTTAACTTTTTCTCAATTCATTATCTTTCAGAAGTATTTTGCTGTAACGATTATTCCTCATAGTCTACACAAAACCTATCATCTGGTTGTCCCAATGTTTTTCTCACTTTCCATGTTCTCTCTATGTATTAAAGATTGTTCTCTTTCATGGTCCAGACTCTTGGAATCTGTCAGATTGCAGTATTCATGCAATCTATACAATATTCGTACTACCTTTTTCTCAGGACTTTCCCCTGACATGGCAAATATACAAAGGTGGCATGTTAGAGAAATGACCAAGAAATCCAGAAAGATTTTAGACAGCTGCAAGTATGTGATCCCTAGTGTACAGCAGGGCAAAGACTATTCACAGTACACGGGCTAACAGTTGTTACCTGTGAAAAGTGCATCTCTTCTTTTTTACCTAAATGACTTTTAAAGTTCCTTAACAAAATAAATTATACAATTTAAGAGGAAATTCACACTATTCGGTGTATGTAAGCTTGTCAAAATAAAAAATAAATACAATATTGGACACTGTATATGCCTAGTAAAAAACCACATACCTCTTCATTACTTGTCATTCTAGTTGTAAGTAGTGCTGTGCAAAATGTTTACACTATATTTATCCAGCTCTGTATTTATTCAGCTCATGGAGAACATTAAGCCTGGATGCTGGTGGAATCCATCACAGATAATTTTGATCTTCATCCCATTGTAGAATTCAAGTATGTAGATCAATTACTCTAAGAGTAGTACACTCCTCAGGCTGTAGTTTTTATTTTTGGTGATGGGCATTGACTACACTGGGTCATATTAAATCTAATTGTCTCCAAACTAAAGTGGCTGACTACACTCTCCCTTCTCTCCCATCAACAATTCATTCAGTCTAGGTGCTGATATCATACGCCACTCATCTCATTGCCCCAGGCACAATCCTTTGTCTCTGAAGCTCTGAATATATTATTGGTTGCTTTAGGTGTTGCAACGTTCCATCATTTGTTTTTTGCAGTGCATATTGTATCTTTTATTACAATAATATTTTTTTCCTAAAGCAGTAATTTATTTGTGGCACAGAGTTCAAAATGTAGGCCTCAATTTAATATGTTTGTATAACATGCTTTCCAGCTATCCCCATTTCGGTGGAACAGTCCAGATTTAGGAGTCCTGTCACACTGAAACAGTGCTCCCTGCATGTAAGGCCCTCAATGAGGAAATGATTGGCAGGTAGCCTAGTATGTATTCAAACCAGGCTGACCTTCTAGTAATGTTGGTGGACACAGCCCCTTTCCACACAGATCCACCCACTTTCTGTGCAGGTCTGCCTCTTTTGGGTAAAGCTAGTGATGCAATCGCAATACTTACTCCCTGTACTTCCCCCGGCATCCTGATTCTGGGATGTTTGAGATCTCCCCAAAGTGGCTCGATGATATTAAGATCACGAGACTGTGATGGCCACTCCAGAACCTTAACCTTTTTCTGCTGTTACCATTGAAGGGTCAACTTAGCCTTATGCTTAGGGTCATTGTCATGCTGGAAAGTCCAAGAGCAACTCATGCGCAGCATTCGTGCAGAAGAATTCAAATTGTCTGCCTGTATTTTCTGATAAGATGCTGCAGTCATCTTCCCATCAGTTTTAACAAGATTCCCTGTGCCTTTAGAGCTCACCCCCCCAAAAAACATGCGTGAGCCACCACCATGCTTCACAGTCGGGATGGTATTCTTTTCACTATGGGACATGTTGACTCCTCTCCAAACATAGCGCTTATGGTTGTGACCATAAAGCTCTATTTTGGTCTCGTCACTCCAAATTACAGTGTGCCAGAAGCACAGTAAAGGCTTCTATCTGTTAAATAGACCATGCTGCTCATTTTTGTACAAGTATCGTCCTATTGTGCTCCTTGAAACAACCACACGTTTTCCAGAACATCCTATATTTCTCCTGAGGTTACCTGTGGGTTTTTCTCTTTATCTCAAACAATTGTTCTGGCAGTTGTGGCTAAAATCTTTCTTGGTCTACCTGACATTGGCTTGGTATCAAGAGACCTCTGAATTTTCCACTTCTTAAAAGGTGATTAAACAGTACTGACTGGCATTCTCAAGGCTTTGGATATCTTTTTATATACTTTTCCATCTTTAGAAAGTTCCACTACCTTCTTATGCAGGTCATTTGACAGTTATTTTCTGCTCCCTATGGCTCGGTATCTAGCCTGGTCAGTGCATCCATGTGAGAGCTAACAAACACATTGACTATTTATACACAGACACTAATTGCAATTTAAAAAGCCACAGGGAAATTAACCTTTAATTGCTATTTTAACCTGTGTGTGTCACCTTGTGTCGGTAACAAGGCCAAACATTCAAGGGTATGTAAACATTTGAACATTTGAGGGATTTCTGTTATCATTATGATTTAAAAAGGAGTCAAACAACTATGTCATAATAATGGCTTCAAATGATCACTATTCTTCAATAAAAAAAAGAAAATTGCATGGTCAGTCACATTTTCAAAATCAATGCCAACATTTCATAATTTCTGTCAGGGTTTGCAATCTTTTGAATACAACTGTAAGCTTTTCAAATTATTACAATGTGATAAGAAAGTGTTTCAAATTATTTATTTAGAAAATTCCCATAGATTTTAGTGGTGATTTCAGCAAATAAATAATTTGAACAAATACTAGCAGATTGTTATCATTTTAAAGACTTATCCAAAATATGAAGCCTTGGGCCTTAAATTAATTAATTTGAATCAGAAATCAAATAATTTATCTACACAAATTTCCTTGGACTTTAGTCACTTTGGTTTATTTTTTTCTAACTGAGTGGAATAGTTTTAGTGTCTACCAAAATAGTTGTATAATTATACCTGCAATCCTAAACGAACACTATAGTGTCAGGAATACATACATGTATTCCTGAAACTACAGTTTTGAAACTGCCTTTTAGGTGACCGGCCCCCCATGTTCCTGGTTAAAAAGGTATAAAACGTAAAGGTATAAACCTTTTTACTGGCACTATGGGGTCTCATGGTGGCTTGCTTCACCCCTGCTCAATCTCCTTGCATCTATTATAGGAAAGCATTGGAAGGCTATTGCACATGCAAAACATGCTGCCCAACTCAGCATCTCCTCATAGAGATGCATTAAATCAGGAGCATTTAATGGAGACACATTGTGCAGCACTGACCCAGGAAGCACCTCTAGTGGCCATCTGAGTGACGGCCACTAGAAGTGTTCCTAGGCAATAATGTAAACACTGCCTTTTCTCTCAAAAGACAGTGTTTACATTAAAAAGCCTGCAGGGACAGGTAGTAGACACCATAACAACTACATTAAGCTGCAGTTGCTCTGGTGACTATTGTGTCCCTTTAAGTCTGCCCAGTGGTTGATTGCTTACCTTTACCTAAGAATTACAAACAAAAATTCAAACATGTACATTGATTGTTTTATGCACAAAAACAAAAAGGTATAGCCCCTATGCTTATGTACAACTGGCATTTTAATTTTTCTGTAATTGCAGTTTAATTTCAACAGATTTGTACAAATCACCAATGCATTTAAAAGAAATAAAAATGCATAATTATTTGAAAAAAACAAAAAAAAACTTCACGCTGGGATAATACTTGCCTAAAAATAA